AGGCCAGATTGACTTTGTTGAAATGGTTAAAATCAATATCTCTAGTTTACTGATCTTACATTTCTGGAAAAAAAACACCTTGAAATAAAATAATATAAATGTATGTGTGTATATGCGAGTGTATGCATTTGTGTAATTCCTCAAACAATCTTCAAGGAGAAGTAAATCAAGAACCCGTTCATGAATCAAGTAAGGTGCTAACTAGCCCTGCATCACAAAATTTGCTTGCTAGAAAAGCTAGATAAGTCATGAGCCAGGTGAATTGGTCCAGTTCACCGGGCTTCTCAGTGACGCATTGTTCCCTTTCTCTGTAGCATCGTCGGTCGAACACGAGTTCTGGATGCAGGTTATTAGTAGCAGCGAGTAATTAAATAACTTTAACGTATCGACGCATTGACCGTATTAACTGTCCATTTAATACGGCAGGTAGTTAAGGATGACGCCAACTGCAGCCATCACTATGCAGCATCACGCTGCTATCAATCGCCGAAGACCGTCTTCCGTGAAGCGGCCAACAATGGAAAGGACAGGCAGTACGAAAATGATCAAAAATCAAAATCCCTTCCGTATTTCGCTCTCAGTTACAGACGGAGGCATTCGAGAGATAGCCTGAGTGGCAGCAAATGCACAGAGAGCACCGTCCGCTAGCAATGCTCTCAGGGGCTCGCTCTTGTAAGGATTGCTTACAAACAAGCTGATGGCATATACCAGTATCAATTTATCACAGAAACGAATCATAGAGAATGGCCTAATTTAAAATAAAAGTCTTGTAATGGCACAATTTAAAATTAAAATTTTTGATGTCTGCACAATTAACCAAGGCTGGAACGCACCAGGCGAGCCGGTGCGATCATGCGTTTTTGCACCAGACTAGAAATAATTGGGTTAACTGCATGAGTTGTTGTTTCTTTACACCTACCTTGTGCTCTCAGTACAGTAACTCATCATAAATTTTGCATAAAAAAATAAACAATATCCGTTTAGCGGTCGCTTTTTGAAAATGACCCAGCCGTTCAATTAGTAATTTTCCGCCAAGAATTTAAGTGCCCGTGCATGAGAACAACGCACGCCTGGGGGCTGGATTCGATTACTTTAAGTCGTAAGTGGATTGGGGACATTTCCTGAAAATTTTAGCTTCCCATCTTTACTAATTCCCGAGTTAGCCATTTTCGCGCCAAAAAATTTTGCGGGGCCGTACGTGTGAATCGCGCAACCCTGGGGATGAATTTAATGAACTTAAGTCGTACACGGGCTAGAAACATTCCCTGAAAATTTCAGCTTCCCAGCTTTGCTAATTCCCGAGTTAGCCAATTCCACGGGGCCGTACGCGGGAACTACGCACGCCTGGAGGCTGAATTTGACAACTTTAAGTCGTAAGTGGATTGGGAACATTCCCTGATAATTTCAGCTTCCCATCTTCACTAAATCCCGGTAGTTATCCATTTTCCCGCCGAAAAATCTCACAGGGCCGTACGTGAGAACTGCGCATGTCTGGGGGATGAATTTGATGAACTCAAGTCGTACATGGGCTAGAAACATTCCCTGAAAATTTCAGCTTCCCAGCTTTGCTAGTTCCCAAGTTAGCCATTTTCCCGCCGAAAAATCACACGGGGCCGTGGTGAGAACCACGCGCACCTGGAGGCTGAATTTGAAATCTTTGGACGGGGAACATGACCTTAAAATTTCATCTTCCTATCTTTTCGCGTTCCCGAGTTATCAATTTTCCCGCCAAAACTTTCTCCTCTCGTACGCGGGGCCCAGA